TTTAGTGTCTTAAAGCTGTAAAGTGGCTTTCGAAGCGTTCTTGTCTTGCACAACGGGCAGTTCTCGAGATTAGGGTGCCCTTTCAGGTGCTGTTGACAAGGGTGCCGTACTCTTTCTGGGATCTGGAAAGGGACCCGAGTTTAGAGAACTACCCAAACGGATGAGATCCTGACTTAGCAGACCTATGCTCAAGCAATGAGCATCCCTTATGGGTGGCCAGTCCAGTCTAGAATCAGAGAAAGGTTTGGGAGTCCATTGTAGGATACTCAAAGTAAACATCCGGAAGGAGCAGTACTGGTGATTATTCCGCCCTCTAATTCCCAAAAAGCATGTTACAAGATAGAGAAGTACAAGGCTCAGCTCGTGGCCCTGTAACCTTGAGTGCTGAATCGTTGCGGTTTCTGGGGGAGAGATGGAGCCTACTTGTTGGGTATCATGGGGAACTAAAGGTTATTCTTCTTGGTTATATAGCGATTATACTGGGACTATATACTACCTGTAAAGGTTAACTACTCTACTACTGGGGGAGGATCGCCCGGGTGATCCGAAACCCACCTCTAGTGCCAGGAAACCACACTTGGGTGGTTGTCAAAATCAGGGTCTAGTACAGCACCTGATATCTAGGGTACCCAAAAAGGGACCCTAATTTTGACAACCAAGTTTCTGGCAGCCGAGGGCCGCTTGGGCTCTTGGTGTCCCAATCCCTCTCAAACGGTCCATCCACAAGCGGAGTGGGAACCACATGGGACTTAGTAGGTTAGGTCATAAGTACCGTAAAAAGGGTTACAAGTACTAATTAGTATAGCTACCTTATAAGTGCTTCAGAAACCCTAAACCCTCTGAACCCAAATGAACGAGGAATGCAACCTCCGTAGCTCCTGTGGTGACAGGCGCCACATCCAGCCCAGTCCCTGCAGCGTGGACCGCAGGCTTAAGCCTCTGAGCAGATCCTTTCAGGGAACACCAGATGCATTTGGGGGGGGGATTCTGGGTTTAGGGTTCCGAGGTTTTGTACCCTGTGGTGTTCCAGTGAAATCCTTTGTGCTGCTCGTTCGCTACCTGACTCTGTTTAGTCTAACTTAATTGATTCGTCTGCTTCTTGCTCTTCTTCCAAACTGCTGGTGCTGGAAAGAAAACGCCCGTGGTGCTGTGGATGCCGTCCTTCACTTGGTTTTGGTATGTAGACTTGCTATGAAAGTCATCTCCAGTTGCCACGACTGGTACTGGTGAGACGAAGCTCTTCAAATCTTGTTTTGAGCTTAACAACGAATATAATCACGTGGGTTCTGACCTCATACTGTAACAGCATATGAAAGGGCTACTATTAAGGGCCCTTCGTATCTAGATTATCAAGAAGTATTCAACTGGTACTGAGTGGGGGCAGTATCCAAATCATCGGCATTATTGCAAGTCGATCAAGTCGACATGAAGTGAACATCCGAGAAGAAGTCGCTGAGGCAAGTGCCGCAATTCACTATGGAATCCTACGGAAGCTTTATCGGAGGAATATAGGGGCCTGAATAAATACCTATACTAGGGGGGTTCCTTATTCGAAGTGTAGTAAAATGGACCCCAAACCATATTCTATTTACTCAGGCCCCCTCTTTTAACATGAAGCGCATCCCCTCCGCACCCTCAAGAGCATGTCTGACACTCCAAGGCCAGTAAACCCTTAACCCTAAACCTCTAGACCCTTAACCCTGACTCCGTAATTAAAGGACTTGGAAGGTCTGGGTTAACCCGGAACCCTGCCTGATCCACCTCGAAGCTCTGACCTGTCTTCATCCGTCGCGTCATACCTCAGCTGTCTGACCGGGTCCGACGGGTTGATGATATAAATCCTGAGGTTCCTTTAAAGGGATCCATAGGGGTTCCTTCAAAAGGATCTATAAATCTTTAGGGTTTAGGGTTGATGATATAAACCCTGCATTATACATAACCGAACATAGTATGCCTACTAGAGTAACCATATTATACCCTTTTGTAACATGCTCTACTGCTTTATGCCAGACTATACCATACAGTATGTTATGATCCGTTTTGCCAGAGTGCCCACCAGTCCTGAAGCCCACCTCTACGTCCAGCAAAAAACGACAGTTCGAGTCATGACCCCAAACTCTACACTCTACAATGCAGAGTCTACTACAACGTGGAGTCTACATTGTAGTACACTATGGTATGTTAAAGCACATTATAGCACGTTGCAGTATATTATAGCAATTTAGAGTACATTAGACTATGCATTCACCCCCGCCCTTTTCGGCCCTGAAGTTCGAGGTGCTGAGACGAAGCTGACTTCGCGTGGGGTCATCGAGCTCCGGAGAGAAAGCGGAATGCAAGCCGCTGGCGGTGTTTTTCCAGGAGGAGAAGCAGACGCTGGTGCTTGCTGGATAACTTCCTGCTGTTTCGGGAGACACAGAATACCCCTGAAGTGCGGAAGATGCCATACATCATAACCAGACTGATTTGAGGAATAGCCCTTCGTAGGGAAGGGGGCTGGGCTCTATGGGTTGAGGCCCGGGTAAAGGTTCGGGGAGTTTAAGCCAAACGAGCCTGGATCTTCTACTGAGGTTTGGGTGGCGTGGGGGTCTGGTTCTCGCAGCATGGTCTAGGGATATCTCCTCGCTAGAATGCCGAATATGATCAGATTTACGAGTGGGTGGCATATGTCCTAGTGCTAGAATGCCGAATATGACCAGAAATAGTGAGATAATCAAGATCGTCCCCTCCTCTGTCCATACCATACACATGCTGCGCATGCTTTATGATGATCCTGCTTTTGAGACTTTCTCCCCAAGTCAAACCCTAAACCCTAAACTCTCCTGGCCCATCTGCCGCGCGGATTTGGTTCATGCTGGCGGAGGCAAGTCCGAAACTCACGCTCGCCGCCACACCTCCCAAATACTCATCACCTGGACTTGAGAGCAGCCAGGGGGAGAAAAGAAAAGACTTCGATTTCATAATGGTTCCTTGAAGGAGCAGGTTTCAAAAAAGGTATTCAAGTATGGTACTCCGAACCCAAGTCACTGCCACGATCAACATCAGCGGAGGTCGGATCACTTCGAACAGATTCATTCTCATGTCCTGCGGTGCAGAGGCTATCTTGAGGCCAAACGGGCATATTTTTTCAGCTGCTTACGTCTCATTACACCACCTGCGCACCCAGTCCGTCCAAGGCCGAAAGCGTTTGACGCGTCCACTGAGTCTCTTCTTGCCTTCAGGGGCGCACTGAAGGTGCAGCTTCTATGGATATGGGGGCTACAACCAGAACTCCCTATACATTTCTGAAGTCTCTAGCCTGGTAACACCACGCTCGGCGTTTTTTGTGCCCCTTTACCTGAAGAGTTCCTGAAGCCTGAAAACCCTGAGCGTTTGGCCTTTCGCCGGCACAGACACATTCGCACCATAGCTCGGGCTTCATTGCATCATGGCATTAACTGTTGAGCTTTCCCTCGGGCTCCCAATAGCCCTAAGTAGGGAGTACGTATAGACTTTAAACCCCGCAGTAAGTACTATTTGTATACTTGGAGCACTAGGGAGTGTCCTACGCTTCCGGCTTTTTTCATGCTCTAGGAAGTCCTGGTCCAAAGCCTTCATGCTTCAAGCAGTCCTCATCAGGACTCGGGGCAACAATATATAAGCCCTAACAGTTGGAAGCGGGTGGTTCGGGTACATTATCCTTATGACTATAAGGATGATAAGGAAATGATGTTACTCATGATGCGGTGACTATCTCTCTGTATATATACACATGTATATATACACACACTATAGGGACGATTAGGGAATTTTGTATCTTGGATGAAACACGACTTCTCATGAAACTCCCTGGTCCGGGACCTGCGGAGAAAGCTCATGGTGGGTTGGAGTCAGAGCTTCAGGGGCTTTAGCTTAAGGGTGTAGCGGCTCTTTCGACAGTTTTGATGGGAGTTTGGGGTCTCTTATCTCAGATAAACGATATTATGAACCCCAAGGAAGGGAGTTTGGGGTCTCTTATCTCAGAGAAACGATATTCTGAACCCCAAGGAAGGGCTTTCGCAGCCATTCAGGCTTCGATATGAGAGTTTCCGAAAATCAGGGGTACCTTACTTTGGGGTCCTTATAATAAGGACCCTACTATTGGGGGGTACTATATTAGGGTCCCCTCTTTTCGGAAACTCCCATATGAGGGTTTAGCGGCCCGGGGCCGGAAAAGTCAGCAGGATTCCCTAAAGTAAAGATGAAGCAGGGTTTCTATTGCTCCTAGATCCCCATAAACATGTCTGGATCCCAAACTGTGAAGTAGCAGCCCTGCAGTTTAGTCGATGCCTGAATTTGTGCGTACTGATTTCTTGGTGCGCCTGAATATATGCGAACAGCAGTGGTACCACAATGGGAGCTGTAGGGAATCAAGCTTCAATTTTCAGGGGCTTACAAGATTTACCGTACAGGCTTTGACATTGTGTCGCATCCATTCAACTCACGCATCTTCGAAACCTTACCGTGGCTGACCTAAACAAAGCACGCAATATTGTCACAACCATCGAAGTGACCAGAAACTCTGCGCTGCTCTTTGCTTCAGCCCCAGATGGAATGCTGCAAGTGGATCGTGTTTACCAATTCATCTTTTGGCGTTCTGCCATGGTTTCCGCGGCAGGGCGCTTAAACCATAGATGATTGGACGGCATAATTACGGATCCCTTGTTCTTGCTTACTTAACTGAAGATTACATGAGGTAATGTTATGGCCATACTTAGGAAGTCCCCTGAGCCTTCAGGCAACCGACAAGGCTAGTAGCAAGACAGCGTTTCAAGTGCATGCCTCTTGCACACCTTGGAAACTGCAATGCGAGATTCGATAGACTGAGGGTTGGCCTGGAAGCCTGCGAATGTGCAGCTCAACCAACACGCCTGAAGTCCTATGCGACGCAAACTGCAATGGAAACGCCATGCACCCCACTGACAAAATCAGAAACTTCCGGACAAAAAAACGCGGGAAGGCTCCAAGACTAAGCTGTGCGCCCTTCTTGATCTCGGCATAGCGCCGTCCGGTGCTGGACCTCAAGGAATACTTGGGCAGTCGAAAATCTAGACTCGTGTAGCGTTTAGGCTTGAGGCTGCTTTCTTACCTCGCAGTCACAAAGTCAAAACTCTCAAAAAACACAAAGCTAAAATACTAATAATAATGCTTTATTAAGAATAATACTATAATAAGACTACTATAGTACAAAAGTAATAAGAATACTATAAAATTATGATAATAATAATACTATAATACTATAAGAAGAATAATACTGTAATAATACTACTATAATAGCAGTACACCTAACAACACACCCGAGGCGGCAGGCCAACCTGAGGTAGTGCGCACACACTCACACACACAAACGTACCCACACGCGTTGACTTCACATCCAGGGGACATCCAAAACACTTCATAGGTAAAGAACATAATATACTCTACTAGAGTAGCTATATTATACCCTCTTGTACTATACTCTACTACCTCATAAGTCATAAGTAAAGAACGTATGAATGGTGTTAGTTCTTTGATGTTTTATCTCATGCCAGCGTCGATGCTTCCAAAAGCATGCGCGACACCGCGGCAGCAGGATTTCGGTGGCGGAAGCGCGCGCCTCAATCACACCGAGGAGCCTCGAGGAGCCCATCTTCTACATTAGGTACTATAATATTATTACCGTCTATAGCCATTGAAGGATATAGGGAAAGTGCGCGACTGTGGCGAGAGTACGGTTTCGTTCCGGACACACTCCAAAAAATGGCACCACCACGGCCCAGCGCGATTCGAATGAATTCGGCGCCCACACTCGGCCCGTGCGGGCTGCGGCAGGGCGATTGCAGTTGCACCTGTGCGTCGCGCCACAGCGCGAGCTGTGGAACTGCAGTTCTGGCCATTTTGGATCCTTCCAGCCCGCGTTCCGGTTAGATGGTCATTCAAAGTCCACCAAATTTGCCCTTTTTGTTCACGTTATCGAGGCACCAGCAGAACACCAGATTTTAACTTTGTAGGACAATTTGATTGTTTCGGGCTATTCACGGCTATTCTGTGCCCTCCCCAAGCTCCAAATTTGCATTCTGTGCCATTTTGGCATTTGCGCGTGCCCCTCAAAAAACTTGCCAATCTACATGATTGCTGACACCTTCCAAAACTCACGTGTAGTTTTCCTGCGGCACCTTGACCCTTAGAACCAACCTGCTAAAACCATGTTCGGATGGAACCCAGGAACCCACCTATTAACTTAACATAGGGGCCTAAATAGTTACCAATACTATTTGGTGGGACGCGCCCCTCGAGGCACTACAGTCCGTCAGAAGAAAAATACGATTAGTTTGGGGTTCCATATTATAGTTATAGTACAATATGTCCCAAACGCATTTTCTAATCATTAAAGCCCCTATATTGCCGCAAGTTTCGTTGCTTGCTTTCCTTCGATCCTGCCTGGTGCACTTACCCAAGGTTGGGCTTACGACGCGTTGGGAAAGTTAGTAAGGTTGGTTTTTAAATGCCACACAATTGGGAGTAGAAACAGCTATAAGTGTAGTTCCCTAGTTGTAAGCCTAGTTACAATGTCCCATGATCCGTTGAGCAACCCCAACCCCCCTTGTAGAACCCCCCTTAAGGAGCCCTTTAACGCACCCTTTAAGGAATCGTAGGGTGTAGGGCTTTCTGAGCATCCCATGCAGGCAACAGTATTGGTAAGTCTTAAGGCCCCCTACTAAACCCCCTACACTAGCCCTTCTAGTAATCCTTATGGACCCGTTGAGAAGGAACCCAACCATACGTTATACTATAGTTATCAGAAGGAACCCACCAAAGTAAACCCTAAGCCGAGGCCTCTTCGAAGTCCCAATGTCCTCAAGGCGACCTGCCCAGACACTGCAAAATCCCGTAATTCAGGAATATACCTTAATTCTTATCAAGGCTGCTTAACATGTCTATATAGGGATCTCTAGCCCGGATACGAATCAAAGGAAATACATTAATTCTTATCGGGGTTCCCTGTGCAATCTAAGATTCCTCAATGAAGGGGTTTTCGAGTTTCGGTGCTTTTCGGACTGAGAGCACAGTAGCTCAACTGCGGTTTTTTGGGGCTTTGGGGTTTAGGGGTTTAAGTTTAGGGCTTAAAGGTTTAAGGTTTAAGGCTTTGGGGTTTAAGGGTTCGGTTGAGGGTTTTGGGGGTCGTCGGGCTAGGGTTTGAGGGTTGCGGGTTCAGGGTTTCAGGCTTTGGGACCTAATCTTCGGAAACACCCATAAAGAGGCCAAACCTCTGGGGTTTTGGGCTTTGTGTTTCTAGGGTTTCGGGCACCGGTCAAAATCATAGGACCCGTAGGACCTCATGACGTTCCTAAAATCGTATCCTGATCTGAGATCTTAACCATCAGTGCGGCGCGTCGAAAGAATGCAACTTGGCATGAAATGGGTACCGATTCTCGATGCATGTTTGCCTTCTTGGAATATTTCGATCTACCATGCCGCTCACCCCAAGTCACAACACTTTTTGAGGCAACGACCAAATCCATCGAAACCATGGCTCAACAAGGCACACATTTTTGTGGCCCCCTGGGGGCCGAGTTCTTCGAGGAGTCTAGCTGTAGCAGCTCAAGGTTCTTAAGTATGTCGTATCCGTTTCGATGTACTCCAGCTCGGATGGCCCACATGTCTGATCTGTTCTGGGAGTTTCCGAAAATAGGGGACCCGAATAGAATACCCTAAATAATAGGATCCTGATTATAAAGGCCCCAAATAAGGTAACCCCTAATTTTCGGAAACTCCTTTTTGGGACTCCGGTTCAACACTCTTACGGAGTGGGCCTTCAACGGATGCCTTCGGGTTCCTGGGCATCTCTTAAGGCTTCGTGGAAAACCCAGACCCCCGGGAGGATCTAGAAAAGTAGATACCCTAATTTGGGGCCTTATACTACCAAGGGTACATTTATTCTATAGGAAGCCCCATTAAGGGATCTACTTTTTGGATTCTCCAAAGGGGGTCTGGGAAGTCGGCTCCTCGGCTTAGGAGATGCCAGATGGGAGTTTCCGAAAACAAGGGGTACCTTACTTGAGGTCCTTAAAATAAGGATCCTACTATTTCGGGTGCTATATTAGGGTCCCCTATTTTCGGAAACTCTCAGATTGGTTCCTGGGCAGCTCGTAGTCAGGGTGCCTGAGCTTGAAGAGGCTTTCGGGCTACCGTAGACTGCAGTGTAGTTACAAGAGAAAGTGTTTGAGGAGCAGTGAGCAGTATTGCTTATTGAGTTAGGCTTCTACATGAAGCGCTTCCAGAAACCCTGGCTCCAGAATGCCATCTGCAGACTGGCAGCCGTGGGAAGCAATCTGTGCGGAGCTCGTGTTTCTAAAGTTGTGAAGATGCATCGCAACTCTGGAAGCTGGTGTCGGTGTCGGTGGGACCCGGCCGCGATGTCTGAGAGAGCCCTTCGAAACTTCGCGGGCGGTAAGTTGAAGTACGGTTTAGGGGCTCGGGGCAAACCAGCGCGCGTTTGACTTGGACTTTTACCTATTTCGGGGCTTCTGATGATAGGCCTCGCTTGCAGGAAAACCGTGCCTTCCAAGTAGACGCAGAGCGAAGCCATCGTGCTGTAGACCTAAACAGCGCAAACCAGGGGGAATGTGGGAGCTGCCTTTGGTGGAATGCTCTACCAGACTATTGGAACTACAAGCAGAGAACTAATTGAACCACGGATTCACTTCCTTCCTCCGGTATTCTCTTCTTGGAGCGGGCCTCCGTCACATCTTCGCTTCTGGGGGGCTCTTTGCAGTTAGGAGGGGCAACATATAGTGGTCGGAAGACTAGGAGTATCCCATTTTTGGGGAGCCATATATCATTGTGGCACAGTGCTCAGGGTGCACCCGCACGGTACAGGGACCGCTTCCACGTTACGGACAACTGAGACAGCACACTTCTTACAAAATGAAAGAGATAAGCTGCCACTCTGATGGGTTCTTCTTAAGGGTCTTACAAGAAGCCGTGGGATCTACAATGGATCCCCAATGCACAAGAACCCCCCAGTCTGCGCATGGGTGCTCAGGCTCAGGGGCTTAACTTCTCCAAGTCCCAACCCTGGCATTCACAGAATCCTAAACCCGAGTGTCCCGATTTTTCTGTGCGCTACCATGCTATCCGCAGCTCTACTGATGGCTTCTCGAGATGCATGGCGTGGCTTGACTTACCGTGATGGACTGCTCCCTAAACACTCGCACTCCGAAGAGCCACAAGAACTCTGCTGCGTTCCGATGCTCTCTCACCGCTTCAAGCTTTTGGACTATACCGTTCATTAGTCTTTTTTACTAGATGATATTCTTGTAATGTATTACAACATGTTCATTGCAGTACATTACTGAATATTATACTGTATTCTATTATGTTACATGTCCTTGTGCTGGCTCCTTCTGTGCCTCATTCGCAGCTTTCTGACCCTGGCACCTTTCTCGCAAGCCCGGAGAGTCTCAGGAAGGCACATAGAGGTCTTCCAGAGGCACCGCGGCACCGTGCAGAATGCTTGTGGACAGCAGTTCTGCAAGAGGCACAGCACCTGAAACACAGGGAAGAACGTATCAGCATTTGCACTAGCAAAGTTTTGTGTTCTGGCTATTCTGATCAGTTTAATTCTTCTTCTTACTGTTGAAGTGAAGGCCCACAGGCTACGGACGGCTGGCGCGAGCTCGGGGGTCTCCAGGCCAGCGTTGTCAGAGAACTCTGGGGAGAAGCCCTGAATTCGAGCCATTGAATAATCCTAAGTCCAGTTTAGCTCACACCCCCGCTTGCAACCTCATTAGGTTCCTCTTCTGATCCCTCTTCCCTCCTCTCTTGCTGAAGCCGAAGGCACTCACCGAGTCGATGCCCAGCGCAGTCAGCTCTTCCGAGTCCTTTCGAGAGCTAGGTTTAGGGTGTTTAGGGTTTTGGGTTTAGGGTTGGCGACGAAGCTCTGGCGCGAAGGGATTACCCTTTATGAAGTTATGAGGCTTCGGGTTGCTTAGGGCTAAGGGTTGACAGGCTTGTGCTCGGTTGAATCAGGTGGAGCAGCGGTGGATGGACCTTGTCTCTTGTCAGGCTTGCCTAAACTATTCTAGAAAGTAAGTGTGATTTTCATCATGCTGCATGAGATCCTTCATGCGTACACGACACCGTTGTAGTTTTCCTTCATGCGTACACGACACCGTCGCAGTTTCAGCTAGGACCTGGGAAGTGTTAGCTTAAGAAGTCCACGGCGCGGGCGGGCTTCTTGGTGGCACGGATGCACGGATTTCGGCAAATCATCGCATGCTCTGAAACGAGGAGCGTTGAGTATGGGATGTCTACCCCGGGATTAAGGCTATCAGAATTTCGTCACTGTTTCCGTGTTTCGGGGTTGTGCAAAAAAGCTTCTCGGGGTACCGCGTGAGGCTTAGAAGTGCGACCCTGGAACGAATGGCTTCATGGTTTGCAAGGTGGCGTGCTGAGGGACCGGTCGGGCACAAGTTGGGGCAAGTCGTGATAATGACCACAAGCAGAATAGAAAGCACCACGACTTGGACTCATGGGCAGAAACACAACAACAATGATGCAACTCACGATGTAATGCATCTGGTGCAACTCTGAAGGTGGCCTCGGCATATTCCGTAACCTCCTGAACCATCACGATCCAAGAAGGCTTGATGTTTCTGACCCAGACCTCCACCGCCACACCGGTGGCTCGTTCCACCAGTTCAGCCACCGTCTGCCGAAGCGATCCTTCCACCTCCGTTGCGGTGAGATTCTACGAGCTTTCATGTCCATTGCGTAGGATTTCGCAGCTAGCTCGCGCTGTGTCTTTGGCTTAGCCGGGTGCTTGTCTTTGCAGGGCTGTATGAAAGCGTGCAATTCATCTTTAGTTGTGTCAATGTTGATCATGATGCTGCCATTTCAAGCCGTCGTCGTGGTCTTCCGAGTGCAACTGCTTGCGGTACCTTTGGTTCGGCTACTTTTGCTTGCAAGCATCTTATGGGTATCCCAAACCCAGTAGGTTGCCAGAAACAATCGAGCCATCGCAACAAAGGTTTGAAATTGGCCTCTGGGGTACCTTCTTTCCATGTTGGGGTGTTCATCAATGGCGCACCTCCGTCAAGGAAATCTTGGCAGTGGCATCGGCAAGGGGCGGTGGTGGCGGACCTGAAAACTTGCACTAGCCTGGGCTTACTGTCCCGGTTTACGGTTTTGGGGTTGGGGTCTGTCAAGCGTTTAAGGGTTTCAGTGTTTGATGTCAAACTGAAAGAAACAGCAACCGCCGACAAGGTCATGCAAAGGATATGTCCAAAGACGGCAGGCCAACAAAACGGGCAGCCGAGTCGGCATGTCGGAATGCCAAAACTCTGCTCGAAGGACTAGAGAACTTGGTAAACAAGGTTATAGTCAATTGTAGAACCATTCCAGGAAACCGTAAAGTTACTAAGTCCCAACGTCTTTAAAAAGCCCAACTCCTTCAATACCGTAAATCACATCAGGAAGACCTCCAAATTAACTAAGCTATATACCTCAAATCGTGATGTGAAGCCCTAAACTTCCGGTATATTCCGATTATCCCTTCATCAAAAAGTACCGGGCTCTCCGAATGGCTGCCCTGAAGGACTGATCTTTCCAATTTCTGGATAGGGAAGATGTTGGACATGTACCGAACAAAGTTTGTTTAACGTCCGAAGTCGGTGTCAAACGATCTGGCACTACAATGAAGGCTATCGCGAGCGAAGGCGGCTGATAGTAATTTAAGGGCCTCACCAAGCAAAACACAATGCTTCCGGGCATTAAACCCAGCAGACAGTTGCGATCCCAGATCTGGGATCCAACACTACCTCGCAAATGCTGGGCTTGAATCCCTTCTTCCTGAAACCTGCTTGTTTAAAACCTTGAACCCTTTGAACGGGCTTCTACCTTATGCATGTCGCTGGAGCCCGTCGGCCTGCCAGCAACTTCTGTCGATCGATTTTTCCACTGGGCAAAAGGGGAAGGCCATCCTCCGCACATGGACCCTCGAATGGAGATTTTAAGTATTGGGGTTTTTTGGCCACAAATGATTCCTCCTCAAAAACTTAGCAGAGTTCAGGTGATTTGCTTCGAAATGTTTGAAGCTGTTGCCGGTTCAGGGTGTGACAACACCCGGAGTCCCACTTTCCGGGTTTAGTGACGACAATCCTGCAAAGCTGCCGGCTTGGGAGAACAAACAAAAATTTAACAGTTTGACCAAGGACAACTTTTACCGTCCAAGAAAGCCGAAAGATAGCCGGAAACGCAAACCCAGAAAGAGAGAGCAGGAGTTGACCGTTGACCGTGAGACAACAACGGAATAACTTTGAAGGGGCTAGGGAGCGAGAATGAGAAATGAAATGAAAGACAAAGAAACCCGCTTGACAGAAAGATACAATCCGAACTCCAAGTCCGAAGCATCGAATTAAACCCTTTACCCGACACCCCCCGTCCAGAATCGCGAGCCGCTGTGGGATTGCATGGCTGGGCAACTCCTGGCATCATGATATACACTGCAGGGATTCGACGGAATGTAAGATCGTTCACTGTTTGCGCAGGGTTTAATGGACGGTTTAACGTCAAAACATACAAGAATGTCCCTCGCGATTTCTAGCTATCAGCAGGAGCCCGACGATGAGCATGGCAATGTTGACGAAGATGTCGATGACGACGATGCTCTAATGCAATGCGGTCATCCTAAAACCGCGCTGAATCATGCAACCGAAATACCAAACACCATGGAGCCAAACCGTTTCCAGCACCTTTGGTCTTTGATGAGCATCCACAAGCCATTGCCGATCTGGGACAGAACACTGTGCACTCCCAGCATCGCCTCCGCGCACCGGTTCCGGAGGCTGCTGCGGAGAGTCGACTGGTATCCTGCCGGAGGCAAAGGCGTGAATCGTGTACATGACAGGCCTGTCTTGCGGAGTGTCCCCATGTATGTATGTGTGTATGTATGTATGTACTGCGTATGTGCAAGCATGTATGCCTGCGCGCGCGTGCGTGTGCGGGGCGCGCGTGGGTGCGGGCGGTGCGCGTGTGTGCATGTGCATGTGCGTGTGCGTGTGTGTGTGTGTGTGTCTGTGTGTGTGTGTGTGTGTGTGTGCGTGTGTGGGTGTGTGTGTGTGTGTGTGTGTGTTTGTGAGTGCCTTGATTTTGTGGAAACCTTACGATGGTGGTGAACTTTCAGTGCAAAGGGGATTGAAATCCAAGCTTTGCAAGCTGAAGCAATGTAGCTTCGAGACCGTAACTCGACAGGCTGACAGCCTTGGGTCACATCTTCAGTCGGGGCTCCTTGCATGCTCGCACGTGATGCCGTGGCAACGAACGCCCACAACTCAGGAGAGTCACCTAGCGCAAGCTGGGCTTGACGGGCCGATAGAGCTTGGGGGTTTGCAACTCTTGCTGAACTGTCTGCAGCTTCTCTGCTCGCATTTTCTATGCTACCAGGCGCCAGCGGCATCGGTCATGGATTGGCATCGTGTAATCCTCGAGACCTTCGGGAATGGCCCAGTGAACCGTCACAGCAATCGCACGCTCAGTCGCTGCCTGCAGCTTGGTGACCATCTGTCGGTCTGCTTCCAAGGCCTGATGCGGCAACAGCACCAGCTCAGCAGAAGCTGGAATCTGCTGGACCAACTTGAGTTGATGTTCCGCATCTTCTTTGCACGGCACCAACATAAATGTCCGCAGCTGCATGCCCTTGAGCTCCCGGACGTACTTCAGCGCTGCAGTGGAGGATGCCACGATTGCTTTCACTTGCCTCACAGTCTGGCGCTCGATGGCATTCTTGGTCAAAGCCGGCAACAAACGCTTTGCAGCCGCCTTTCCGCAATGCCGACGCCAGAAAAGCTCTACCTTGTTCGCCAGTGAGGTTCCATACGGGGTCCGTGGGCAAATGAACCAAACGCTGGGTCCGCTTGCCTGCTTGGGCAACTTCTCCATGAGCACATCACGCAGACAGAAAGTGTCCGCTTGCACACTTTGCTTCAAGTCCGCGCCTTCACGAGCGCTGGTTGCATCACCAGCTGTTACTGACCCACTTTGGGGCAAGTTGACAAGGCCCAGGCAAGGAGCATCTTCTTCCAAACCCAACTCTTTTTTGACGATGTCCTCGTCTTCATCTTCGATCTCGTTATGCTCCAGAATGGAAGAAGGAGGGCGTGGCAACAGCAAGGGCTTCAAGGGGAGACGGTAAACTTGGCCAGGCCGGCCCCCGATGAGCACCTCACGCCCACCGCTCGATGTTGAAAACATCCTCCAGAAAAGGTCGTTCACCTTGCTCTCGTATCGCGGAAGGTCGTCGCCGTCTGACAGAGGTTGATGAACCTTCCAAGGATGGATGCGCACATCGATTGTAGGATTCTCTTCTTGATGCTTCCAAAGGCAATACGTCCGCCGGTTGTTGATGGAAAAATATTGCCCCTTCCACGCGAAAAGCTCCAGGCGGAGGAACTCTGCGGTGTGGCTGACCACGCTTCCTTCGTTGAGAGCACTCACCAGCTCCTGAAAAGTGCGAGTCTCTGGATGTCCAAAATGATTGGAGATCCTGTTGTGTGTAAACCGGATCGACCTTACCGGAATGAGCCACGGATGCACCTGCACCTGAGCCTCAGCCCTCTCAGACAGTCTGGCCCTCTTCGTGTCTTTGCGAAGAGTAGGCAGTGAGATGTCGAGGGCATTGCGTGCCATTGCAAGTCAACGTATGAGCTTTGTACGTCAAACTCGCAGAGTTGGAGCCCGTCGCCCGTCGTCCCTCCCAGAGGCACCAGAGTGCCCTCATGTCAAGGCACAGGTCAGGGGCCTCCAAGGCTTTCCAGGAACGGAGTCGCCATGGCACGAGACCGCATGAGCAAGGATTCCAGTTCTAAGCTTTGTTTGCTGTTGGGGCTCTAGAAGCTGTGGGACTTCAGGGCATTTAGGGTTCCAAGAGTGTTGCATCATCACGACCCGTGGAGGAGGACGCACCTCACGGGGATCACAAGTACATCTCCATATATGTTTTGCAACACGCGGAATGCAAGTGGACGTCTCTGCAGGTGGGCACGAGGGTTGTGTAAGGAGGCATCGTGTGGTTAGGTTAGGCCAAGGAACATGAGGGCAAGTCAACTTACTGCTCGGGCCAAGCCCTTCCGGCAAAACCTCGAATTTAAGATCTGTGTTTCGTTCAGGCCCCAGGGTGCCCTGTAGCCGGGCAAGTCCTTGCCACCCTGAAATGCACTCAGACCTCCCTGCAAGCGCGCCGCAAGAATCGCAGTGCGAGACACAGTGGTAAGACTTTCAGGAACTCTTCCCACTTCTCCCGATATTTCGCCGGAACTTGACATCAACGCTAAACCCAGAAACCCCCAAACCACATAACCCTAAACCACTGCAAACGGTGGCAGAAAGGCCGTGTTCGGAGAGTAGAACAACTGCAGTTGCCACCTGCCAGAGGGCAAACGAACAAGTCGCATGATATACCCCCCAAAGCCCCTGTTCTAACGATCAACACGCCCACGGTCTACGTTGTAGGACCCCTAGTATAAACCACAAAGCTTCCTATTCTAATCCTTAGGGGCCCTATGTTGGATAGATCAGTCGCACTATTGCTCGGAACCTTTTGCGGTGAGGCCTTCCGACCGATGTTCCTACAACAATAGCAAGTAATACAGAGTTGTCACAATAGTTGCCCCACTTGTCGGGTGTCATGGGGAACTGAAGGTTAACCTTTTTGGTTACATAGCGATTATATAGGGACTATACTACCCAAACAAGGTTAAAGGTTACCTACTCTACTACTAGGTTGCCCTCTCAACACCCCAAGTCTAAACCCCAAATCAATCCTGAACCCTACAGGCCAAAACCTCCACCCGTGCAGCCTGCACCCCGAAACCCTAGACCCCATCTTTGCCAGTGCAACGCGCGGGCCTCCATAGAATCCTGATACCTACTTGTCGGGTATCATGGGAATAATAATTTACCGGTTTGGTTATATAGGGGTTAAAGGGACGATACTACCCCAAAAAAGGTTGAAGGCTACCTACTCTACTACAAGGGATATGAATCCTAAAAGAACACACCAATGAACGCTTTTGAAAACCCCATCTAGGAAAGTCCAAAGTGGGCCCCTGAAACGTCGATCCCGTAATTTGGGACCCTGCGCCACTGAACGGTATCTTATCGGAGCCTCCCAGGGCATTTACTCTTGGATCCTCCGAGGGGGTCTGGGGTGGGCATCTGTATCAGATTCCTAGCAGAGCGAAAACGAGCGCTTATAGAACCCCTGTAGGGACCCCCCAAAAGAGACCATTCAAGGATCCCGTAAACGAAACCCTGAGGGGTCCTCCTGAAGGGACCCAGCAGGCCTCCGGATGCTCGGCCAACATACCATTATATACCGTGTCATTCTCCTGTATTAGCCTCAAAAGGAGCCGTGTTAGGACCTTCTGGTGCCCTAGCAGCCCTAGCAAGTTCCCTGCTATATCCCTAAAGGATCACTTTTGACACGACTTGAAGATGCCCTGAGAGGAATCCCATTATCGTACCCTTGGAGGATCCCAAAGCTTTAAAAAAGCGGGCCTCCGGATGCTCGGCCAACTTGCTCTCCACCTCTCCGAGCTCCACACGGAAGCCTCGAAGTTTCACCTCCAAAGGGGAGAGGGTTTAATTTTAGTGGGCTTAACAGCTACCTAGACGGTTCCTCAGTATATAGCTATGCTCTAATATTTCTGGGCTGCTTCTTGTAAGTTCCTAGAAAGGCTTCCGAGCTGTTGGCTTCCTAGAAGGGGCATCCAGTTACTAGTTGCTACACGGCTTCTCTCTGTGCAGGAAGTGCTCTGGAGGTTCTCCAAGCTTCATGTGGGATTTTCCGGAAACAGGGGGTCCTAATATGGTACCCTGAATAGTAGGATCCTTTATAAGGACCCCACAGTAAGGTACCCCTAATTTTCGGAAACTTCCATGTGGGGCCGAGGCACCCCTTGCGATTATGCTGCGATGTATGCGAACGAAGGAGCCCTTGTGCCCTTTCATGAACGGATCAAGTAGTGACGAGTTCGAGAAATATGTGCATGCATCTCGTATTTCAGCAATGCAGGAGTGCTAAAAATTAGAGTAGGGTCATGGTGTAGATTAGATTTGCTACTACTATAGCAAAGCCTGAAGAATAATGTGGGCAACGGTTCAGGCACCTATAGTATATGGCTGTGAGAATGGCTGTTGCTGCGTTGACCTACCTTCTGGGCCTTGGATTTCACCTTGGACAAAGCGTAGCAGAACGCAGTCTAGATTCAGAAATTTATGTGCTAGGACCCTCTTTGTGTCCGGAAACAAGGAATGGCGTCAAATAGAAGGCAGAGGGAGTAGGTGTTTGATGCTTTTTCAACTGATCGGGTGTAGCAAGCGCTTAACCCATACTGTCCTGACTCCCGCCTGGTGGTCCTTCCGGCCAAGGAATTCCAGCTCCCCTGCGGCTGTGTGCCGGATGCGATCGCCCGTCACGAAGACGAGGCTTTTGAAACCTCACTGTCATTGGTGTTTGTGAAACACATAGTGGTGCCTGAGTGAAGGTCCGTTTAGCTCTATGTCGGAGACCCGTACTTTCTGAGTAATTCAAAGTTCCGGCTAGGAGGCGGAAGGAGAGTAACGCCGATACTAACTAAACCTCACCGGGAGTAGCCATAAGCTCTACGTTGGCAACGACGACGATAAGAATGGCTTCTGCACGGTGTCTACCACTACTACTACTACTACTACTACTACTACTCCTGCTGCTGCTGCTGCTGCTGCTGGTACTGCTGCTGCTTGTTGTTGCGCCAGACAACTCGCGCCCACAATGCCCTCTATCCCCAGCCTCCAAATCCGATAGCTACACATTTAAAGTTCTGGGCAGAAGAGCCCCGCCAAGCTCCCAGCCATCCGACAGCTCAAGGTGGAGGAACTTCGCAGCATCCAGGTCAGGGCGGCGCAGGTAGCCTAGAGTCGGTGCTCAAGACTCTTGGTGAGGCTTGAAGGTCCAAAAGGAGCAGTCATCACATGAAGGTGGAATGTACTCATAAGGCCTAATAAGCCAAGACAGAACCCTGCATGATGAACATTTTCGTTAGCATGACAAGCAAGCAACACATCGAGCGTTTAAAGTTCAAGGCCTAGGCTTTAAGGTTTACGGCTTTTCAAGGATCACGGTGTCTGGGCTGGACCGAGACTTGTGGCCTTTAATTGCGAAGCTTTTGCATGCTGCCCTGCCTGCCACGCCGACTCCGGCGATGAGGAGCTCGCCTGTGAGCTGCACTATCGATGCACATCAACTTCACCGGGGCGGAAAGATGCACAAAATAGATGGCTCTGGCAAAAGTAAAAACAGATTGGATGAGCTTGAACCATTCTGTGATCAAGCTCCGAAACTTTGCGCATGTGTAAGAGGGCGTCATTCAATATGCACGGCCCCGATCCGGTACCACCAGCCCAAGACCTCTAGACAATCTACGGGCCTGCATACGTAGAATAGGGTTTGGGGGCAAGTATCATAGAACTTCACGATGGTAAGGAGCCCAAAGGAAGAATACTGGCAATGGTTCAGGGTGCAGTGTTTCCAAAGGTCACATGCCAACACAAATACATCACATCTGAGTATCGGAAACTGAAACACATGGATGCTATAGAGCCTCAGCCTGAGAACACGCTGGCTACTGTAGATTCCGCACCTCTGCTAATACAATCCCAAACCCCATAAACCCCCCCCGCCCCCAGCTCTAATTTGTGTAGGGGCCCTATCTTGAATCGGGTGAAGGGGTAGATCATGCGTTGTGATCATAAGGAAGCCGTCTTGAACGCTAAACACTATAAGCTCGGTGCCGGCAAACCGCCAAAACAGGAAACCCGCACAGGAACCCTAAACCCTAAACCCCTAAAGCCTGCAGTTTACATGCCAACCTTCGCAGTTTGGCTCCAGGCCGGCTTCAGAGCGGGAGCCTCTGGAGGCTTAGGCGGGCGAGCGGTGCCGATGTTGGCCATCGGTTTTTAGCAAGGGTTCTACAAGGAGTCGCTGAGGATCCTGTACGGCGTAGTAGGGCCGCTGCTACTGCAACTGCTGCTGCTGTTGCTGCTGCTGCTGCTGCGACGACGACGTCTTCTACTAGTAGTAGTAGTAGTAGTAGTAGTAGTAGTAGTAGTAGTAGTAGTAGTCGTACTACTACTACTACTACTACTACTACTACTACTACTACTACTACTACTACTACTACTGCTATGCTACTACTACTACTACTACTACTACTACTACTACTACTACTACTACTACCACTACCACTATGTAACTGTACATAGTCTGCGGGCTGGCTGTTGTGCTGTATGCTTTTATGCATGCTCTTCTGTAATTCGTATTCATAACATTTTTGGCTCAAGTGAGCACGGCAGTGTGTCGTTGGTAGCTTCTCGTTGCCGCGACGCAATTGCGCGCAGCCCGTCCTGGGCGGACGTTCGACCTGTCACGGTCGTTGGACTTTCTGCTTGGACGGAAAACGAGGGTGCGTGCTGCCCCTTTGGGTTTCCGTTCTCCACAATTGGGGGCTGTTCTGGGAAACGGCCACCCAGGCGGCTGCTGCGCCGCAATCTTTTAACGTGGCCTCGAAGGCGCGCTTGTCGTGCGCCTTGAGGCCGTGGTCCTGTGTGGCACGGGGCTCTCTCCTTCGCTAGGCGACCATGAGCGCTGAGGTCGCAGGTCAGCCGGAAGGAGCCACGTTGCTGAGGTGCATCGAGGATGGGTCAGTGGAGTACCCGGAGAAGATGCCCTTTATGTACTGGCTCCGTTGGCGTAAGGAAACGGGGTCCCGTCCCACCAAGAAGAAGGACGGACGATCCACGACGCTAGCAGATGAACAGCGTCTGTGGAAGGAGACGATGGAATTCCTCTACGACAACTTCGATGCCGAAGAGGAAGAGGAAGAAGATGAAGAGGAAGATGAGGAAGCTCCAGCTGCGGAAGCGGGCCCGGGTGCTCAGGATGGCGATCCGGGCCCCAGCTCTGAAGAGCTTCTGCCGGAGGCCGGGGTACCGGCTCCGCGTCCTGCCGCTGCGCCGGCGGACGTGGCCGAGACGGCGCGCCGTGTTGGTGCGCTTGCTCTCTCGCCGGTGGCCGGCGGCCCGGCCCGTTCCGGGCCTCCCTCGTCTGCTGGGACGGGTGGTCCCGTCACGGCGGAGACCCTGCAGGCGGACCTGCGGGAGCTCTACCGTCCCGACCAGGAACCGGTCGCGGATTACCTGACGCGGGTTTCAAGGCTGGTTGTGGCCTTGAAGGCGCACCAGGCAGAGGTCACGGTGGAGGATCTTGAGAAGATCACTACCAAGGCCACCATCCTTGCCGAGGAATACGGCAAAATGGGAGGTGACTGGCACCCTGCCAGGATGGTGCGGGCCCTGCGCACCAGGTTTACCGTTGCCGCGGTTTCTCTTGGGTCGGAAGACCGAGAGGAGGTCGAGAAGGAGATCTCGTGCCTCGGCGAGCTGATCTTGGCCCTGGGAGGCAAGAGCAGCGGCGATCCCGAGAAGGTTTGGAGCACTCCTTCTTCTGTCCCGGCCCTGGCGGCCCGGACGGGCGCCGTTGCGGAGTCGGGCTCTAAGTCCGGAGCACCGGCGCCTCTCCCGGTGGACCTTCAGCTCGCGATCCCTGAGGATCCGCAACCTGGTCCGGGGGACTCACCCCTGAAGTCCCGCCTTGCGGCTCTGGAGATAGAGCTCGAAGGGCTTAAGAAGGATAAGCCCGGCGAGCCTCACTCCGCCAGCGGCGGAGCCGGAGAGCTCGCTGCAGCTTTGGCGGCCCAGACCGAGGCGCTCAAGGAGGCCTTGGCGTCTCGCGGAGGTCAGACGTCGATCACGACCGTGAAGACGGACCTCCAATGGCCCTCGCTCACCGACGATCGCTCCGACATCCGGGACGTGGTCCAGTTCTACGAAGAGTTCGAGGACGTCTGTGGCCTTGCCAACAACTGCAAGGGGATGAATTTCCGGGAGAAACTCATCGCCCTTCGTGCTCGCTGCCGCGGCTCGAGGCTTAAGACCTTTACTAACGTGTACAAGGCTGCCTCCAAGACCGGGGAAGTTACTGAGAATCCCCAAGCCGTTTACGAAAGGATCAAGCAGCGGCACCTTGTCTTCGGCGAGAGCCGAGAAGAGAAGGAGATGAGGGTGGACGCGGAGCACGTCGCCCTCACTAAGGGCCGTCTCACAGGGCACCAGTTCGAGCCCCTGTTTGAGGCCTCCATCGCGGAGCTGGAGAGTGTGGGTCTTGGCAAGACAGCGAGGGAGCTCTTCCTAAGCTACTTGCGCAAGATGCCTCCACATCTCCAGAAGGAGATCCGCGGTGATAAGCGGTTGTGGCCTAGCGACGGCGCATCCGCAGGGCTTCGAGGCCCTTCGACCTGGGAAGAAGCGCATAAGGTCGTCCTCGAATATGAGCAGCGTGAGGCTGCGCATCGGGTGACGGCTAATAGCGTGTACGCAGGTTCGACGGAAGACCCAGCCCTGTCCGCCGCGCGGAAGGAGGTCGAGAAGCTGAGGACGGAGCTCAAGGCTTCTAAGGCCGCGGCCAAGGCGGCCGCCTCTTCCACGCTTGCCGCTGGTCCGAAAGGAAATGGAAAAGGTAAGCCTATCTGTTTCCATTTCCGCGACCACGGGAACTGCCCAAAAGGGGACGCGTGCCCTTACTCGCACGACAAGGAGCTCCGCAAAAAGGCCCTCGCGGCCAAGAAGGAGCGGGACGCGTCCACCCTGGCGACAACGCCGGGGAAGGGCAAGGGCAAGGGCAAGGGTGGACCCGGAGGGCAGCCCAAAGGCAAGGCCAAGGCCAAGCCCAAGGCGAAGTCCAAGGCGGGCGCGAAGCCGCCAGGGACTATCTGCCCTTTCTTCAAGAAGAACGGGTCGTGCCGTAAGGGAGCGGACTGTGACATGGTCCATTCGCTTCCCGCCACTGGGGGAGCCGCGTTGCCTTCGAACTGGGCGGCCCCGAGTGGCGCCGGGATGGTGAATCCCTTCGCTACGCTCTCCATCCAGATTGGGAGCGCTGGCACGGTTGTTGCGGCGAACTCCTCCGCTTTCCCGCTTGCCAAGAGCTCGTCGTCGAAGTTCAGCTCGTTGGACGAGCTGCCTCAGGACTGGTGGCACCTCTGCGAGAACGAGGTCGGGGGGTACCAGTACAGAACAGTCGTGCAGGTCATCGACGGCATGGTGGAATGCATGCTGGACGGGTGTGCAGGCTCGAACCACATCACGGAGGAACTCCTCTGTGGGATCCTCAACCGGGCTGCTGCCTTGGGGATCGGCACGGAGGACCGGAGGTTTCCTGTCGTGAAGTTCGAACGCTGGGTGCATCCGGAGTTCGTCCATGGGATCGCTGCAGGGAAGCCGGTGCCCCTGAAGGGGGCCGTCGTGCTGAGAGTCCGCTTTCTGGAGGGGCTCTCCCCCGACAACTGCAGCGAGGGTCCAGAGATATTCGTGCGCTGTAAAATAGCCGCGAAAGGAACCTCGGATTGGCATGGGCTCATCCTTGGCGGCCGCGCCTTGGATTGCTCGGGACGGCAGGGCTTGGGCTTCAAGCCCCTTCCTGACTGCCACTCCCTGGAAACCCTTGGGATTAAGATCCCCAGGTGCGAAGACTACAGTAGGTCGCGGAAGGACCGCGCCTACGCCTTCGAGTCCAGGCTTTCTAGTCTCGACGGTGCTCTGTGCTTTGAGCCGGGTACCGGAGGCAGGGACCTGCTCCGGTACAGCGGGGAGAACCCGCTGGAGCTCTTGGCCGGAGATGGGGTCATCGCACCTGTGAAGAGGGAAGGCAGTGGAGGCCAGGATGGCTCCCTTACGGAGGCTGTCCTCCCGGTAGAGTCCGCCAACTGCGAAGCAGTGCCTGGGCTGTGGCCCACAGGAGCCGAGGAAGGTTCGATCTTGCTGGTAGCCGAAGAGGACACGACTGTCTCTCCGGGTGCCGTCGTCGGCGAGGTCCGGACCGGGCTCGCGCAGACCACCGCGTGTGAATGCGGAGGGGTTGAGACCCTCTTTACGGACGCGAGTGGTGACCCGTGTGGGAACTGCGGATTAGGCACTGCCGAAGACTCGACCTTCCCTGGATGCTTTGCGTGCGGGTCCACCGAGAGGACCGCCGTCTGTGGCCTGCAAGGCTGCGGCGCATGCTCGCACAGCAGGGGTTGGCGTAAGGGCCTGAGGGTTGGGGCGGTTTTCGCCCTTGCCGCCGTAAGCACGGTCCTAGGAGGGCCTTGGGCCACGGAGTC